TTCTTATTTACAATACAATTTAATGATATATGTTATATTGTTAGAAACATTTCATCATATTAATTTATCATCTTGTAATTATTGATTTCTTAATTCATCAAATGTTCCTTTTTCTTGCATTAATTTTAATTGTTTATAAGTTTCTTTTTTATATTAATATTCTTCCATATTCTACTTGTTAATTTCATATCATTCATTTCATTTTCAAATTATTTTATTAAATGAATATTTATATTATTTAATTTTAATTTATTAATATACTATTTTATTAAATTTATTATTTAATTATTTTATTACTATAGATTGGTCATTCTTATTTTATGCTAATAAATAATTCATTAAATTCATTTTTATTAATTCTCTTATCACATGTTTTATAAAATCTCTTCCATTTTTTATTCTATTCATTTTCATTATTTCTCCAATTTCATTATCTTCTTTCAATTCATAACACATTATTATTCTTATTAAATCTAATCCATATTAATCTCTTATTATCATATTATTTCACCGCTGTGATACTTTCTTTCCATTTCTTTATAATGTCTTATTTGTATATTCTTTCTTCTTTATTAAGTTTTATTCTATTCTTCTTTATAGGAATTAATATAATGTTTCTTTAATCTTTTATCTTATTAAGGTATCTTTCATTATTATTTAATTTTCATCATTCTTTTAATTGAAAAAAAAAATATGGAAAATACTGAAAATAAGTTATAATAAAGCATGCAAAGGTATCGTAATGAATTTAATTTACCAACAAATTAAATAATTTATTAATAATAGATTCACATTTTAACTGACGAAATCAATACTAATCAAATAAAAATAGAAAATAAAATAATAGATAATGATATTAAAATACAAATAAATAATGATAATATAAAGACACTAGAACAAAATACAGAGTTATTCGTAAAATTCAATATAATATCAGAAATAATTAAAACACAAACAATACACAAATATTTAAACAACAAATAGAACAAGAACAACAAAAATTAAATATATATTATGTATGAATCAACACAATCAAATCAATATCTAATTAACGAATTGAACACAAACAATACTGAATCAATAATAATAATACAAGAAACGAATATTAACACAAATATAATGAAAATTAAACTGTTAATATAAAGTATTAATAAACTAACAATATATATTTTGATTATGTAATTAATTATATAAATAAAACAGTAAAATATCAAAAAAATATGATAACTTTATTTTATTATCAAATAAATCTAATTATAATTATTCATTAATTATAATTAATGAATTTAATCATATATCATTGAATTTAAATAATCAGTTAAAAGAAATATATTTAATGAAAATGAAATGGAATAAATCAAAAATAAATAATAATAAATAAAATAGAGAATATTAATATTAAAAAGAAATATACAGAGAAAGAAATAATAGAGATAATAAAAATAAAATAGAATTAGATAAAATATATAATATATTAATATTAAAACCAAAAAATAATAAACAAAATAGACAATGAATATCTATTTCAATATATTAAATGAAATTATCAATTATAAATATTCAGTTGCATCAACAACCAAACAAATAATAGAATAATATCAATAAAAGAAAGAAAATTTAAAGACAAATAATATCAAAAAAAAAAAAATAAAAAATAAAAAATAAAACAAAATAAAATCAAATAATATTAAATAACAATAAATATACAAAAATTGAACAAAGATTAGATATAAAGAATAATAATATAAATAAAATGAAAACATGAGAAAGAGTTAATAAGAATATTTAATTAATAGTGAATAGTAGAAGAAGAACATAAAATAGAAAAGAAGAAAAGAAATAGAAATTATTACTAATGAAATATTTGAAAAGAAAATCATAAATCAAAATAACATATTTTCAACAAAAATAAAATATATTATCATTTTAGAGAAGTATATAAAATAAAAATAAGAGAAGGTAAAAGAATAATATTATAACAAATAGATAAAACTTTGCAACATACAAAAGAATGAATATAATATTAACATTTGTTTAAAATATTGAAATAAAATAAATATTGATGAAGTGATAATTAACATAATAGTCCAAAAAATATAATAATGACTTGTCAATGAAATAATATAACAAATAACAAAATATAGAAACTATTGTACAAATAATATAATTTCTATATCAAATATATTATTAATATGCAAAATAATAAAATGGATATTAATTAAAATATATGAAAAAGAATAATTAATGAAAAGAATAAATAAGACATAAAATATAAATTTACAATATCTAATCATCATATGACATCAACAAATTATTTAAGTGTAATTATTTCTAATAATTATTCATTAACAGGAGATAATATTAAACCGTCAATATAAAATATTAAATATTTAAGATAATAAACAAAAGAAACATACACTAATATTGTATAATATACAAAGTGAAAATATATCAACATGTTATTTAAATAAATTAAATATAAATTAAGAAATATAAAGATTATATAAATAGAAATCATTCAAATTGTGATAAGGAATGATTGATTTAATCATAAATTATCAATAAAATAGAGAAATAGAAATTGATTAAGCATAATAACAATGGCACTGTAAATAGAATGAAATGTATTATATATTATTTCTATAATGATGATAAATTTAAAGATATAAAAACACAATCAAATAAAATAATACATTACTTTGGTAGTACAGAGAATGATGAAGAAATAATAGTTATAACATTATAACTTCTCAAAGCAATGAAAATATGAACAAGCAAGTAAATACATTAATTGATTACTCATTCTTAATAAATATACAATAACAAAAAAAGAAGCAAAATGATATATGGTTGTTAATAAAAATAGAACATTAAAGTTATTTTGAAAATATAAAAAAGAAACTAAAAATTAATTTTCAGATTCATGTCATCAACACAAACACCAGGAGAACTTGAAACAATTAGAAAATATATAACACCAAGTTTGAAAGAATACAAAGGGTTTTCAGTTCCTGATATCCAACAATCAACACCAAGTAATAACAAAAACAAACCACACATCATAACACCAAGTGGGGAAATCGTTGATATAAATTACATTGTTAATGCTAAAAATGTACCACACAACTTATCAGCTATTCCATCTCGACCACAACCTGATAATTATCCTACATTTGAAGAATATGAAGCTGCTTGGGTAGAATGGAAAAATAAAACAGAAGCCTTTGCGTCATATTACAGATTACCAAAACCTATTGGATCAGAACTTTATATCCCATCTACAAGTAACCTCCCATTAACTAAAGACCCATGGGATTCAATTCTTATTCCACCAGAGCCAAGTGTTGTAGATTTCGATTCATATGAATCATATAGAAGTGCTGTTGAACGATGGATCAAAGAAGTTTCAAGTGCAGGATTTCTCCCACCACATGCATCAGAAATTGAAGCAGCGTTAATGGTAAAGATGTCAACAGAAAGAAAATCAGATGTAGCACAACTAACAGAAATTATGTCAGCTGAGTATGAAGGTTTTCATGAAGACCAATTATTCTCACAAACAACAGATTGTTTCCATATTTCTAATTGTGCTAGACAACCAGTTCGTAAGAGCTTTATTGATAATTCTAAATTTAAAGATGAGTTAAGAGGTGCATTAGCATTATCTAAATTAGAAAATATTTTTGTTGTTCCTGAGAAACAATTTAATGAACCTCAAGATGTTCTTGTTGCACAAGCAGTTGGTATTTCATTAATGAATATCCTTACAAGAAAAACTCAAAATAAAGAGGAAAAAACAGCTAAAGATGAATTACTTTTTAAAGCAAACAAGGCTTCTTCTATATTTGATGTCATTGTTGAAGCAGCTAGATTAAGTGAAAAGAATCCTAATAAATGTTCATTAAAGAAAGATGAAAATATTACTATTGCTATTAATACAGTGAAAAATGAAAGACCTGCATTTAATGCAATGTATAAATTGTTATTCTTCCCAATGAGTATTAATGACTTTAATGCAGTGTTAGACACAAGTATAGAAGGAAGAACTATTAGAGATATATTTAAAGAATGTTTAAATTCACCAAATATTATTTGGTTCTTTAAATTTTCATTACAAACTATTTGTCCATTTACTCTTGCTAAATTAGCTTCATTTGGTAAAGAAGTACTTCTTCATTATGGTAAAACTCCTATTGCACAATTTATTATTGGAAATAAAGAACTTTCAATGAATGAAAAACTTGAAACATTATATGCCGCTTCAAGACTTGTTACATATGGAAGTTATGATGTTTTTGAATTACATTTTGATTTAATAGAACAAATGAAACAACTTATCCCATGTGGAGATACAATTGAAATGATTCATATGACATATTATCTTTCTCTTATTGCAAATAGTACATCTAAAGAATCTAATTTAAAAGACCTTGTTAAAAGTAGTGTTACAATGTTGTCACAAAAAGACGGTGATATATTAAAATTATTTAGTGATATTCCTGAAGCAATGAAAGTACCAGAAATTGCACCATTAGCTATGTTCTGTTTACAACAAATAATTGGAATGGGAGATGTACAAGTAATGAGATATTTACAAACATTAAAACGATTTACTACAACAGATGTTATTCAAAGAATTATCAAAACAGAGTTTTATTATTCTAGTTATTGTGCTCATTTAGTTCTTCAAAAAATTATGTGTACAAAAGATTGTCGTTGTCAATTACTTGAACAACTTACTTCTCGTGATTCTCTATCTTCATTTAAATTAATGATAAATTCAAGAACCCCTGATGAGTTCATTCAAATGATTTGTCAAGTAGTAAGATTTGCAATTAAAGAATGCGCAAGAATTACAAGTAATGATGCTTTTTGGAAAGGGTTTACTGGTGATTATTTCTTTGCAGACATTTGTTTACCAATGTTAAAAGAAGCTGTAGATACTGATAATGAAATATTTATGAAAGAAATAATTGGTGTTATTAAAACATTATTAAAACAAAGTCTTCTTAATGATAAACTTGGAAGTAATTGTACTGGCACATCTGATAAATTTGAGTCACTTGAAGTATCATCTGGAAGTCTTGATAACATTATACAAATTGTTAACAAAATAGTAACTGATCCAACTATGAAAAAGTATCATAATAAAACATTATTTGCACATTTGATTGATTGCCTTAAATATATTTATTCTGTTCAAGAACAATGTGAATTAATTTCAGATAATAAACGATTATTTGTCAATGTAGCTATTTCTTCTTCTGTTCGTGATATGAAAGAAAAAATAGAACCAAAATTATTAAATTCAATTTTAGATATGTATGCTACTATTTTAAGAGTACTTGGACAACATCCACCAAAAGAACCTACTCCAAATCAACCATTAACTAGTGAGGAAATAGCTAAACAAGGACAAATGCAAGATTTCTTTGATAAATTATTTACTGCAGTTATTAGAATGAAAAGTAAATCAAGTAATACTAATAAATTATGGAATTATGTAAGTTTCTATGCTAAAGAAGCTAGTGTTTATCATTGTAAAATTGTATTACGTTTTGTTTTTAATTTAATTCAAATTGCATTTACTTCACAACATAAATTACTTACTGATAATATTAAACGATTCTTAGCTGAAACTATGTTTGAAGAAACTACTGCACTTAAAATGTTAATGCAACAACTTGGTAATACTGATATTACTGCAAGAGATATTATGTCATACAAGAAAGGATATAATTGTATTTCTTATCCAAGTGTTATGAATGTAGCTGGAATCATTTCTGTTTATCAAATTAATAAAAAATTAGTAAAGAAATTAGGAGAAGGAAAAAATCAATACTTAGACGTTGTTGCAGAAACAGGAAAGAAAGCTATTGATTCTAAATCATTAATTCTTTCTATTGAAGAAACAAACAAAATTAGAAAATTATTTGTTTGTGATAATGGTAAAAGAATTGATTCATTCATTGAAACAACACAAAAAGAATAAATGAATTGAAGAAAATTCATTAAAATTTTTTTTTAATTCTTTTTATTAAAAAAAAACAAAAAATATAAAAGAACGATAAGTTGAACCTGAAGATTTACATTTTAAAAACAACTTTTTATAAATAGCAAAAATTAAACAAAATTTTATATTATTAACAATAACATCTATTGTATTAATAGGAAACTTTTGATTTTTTGAACCCCCTCCCCCAAATAACATTAATTCAAATTAGAATAATGAACAATTAACTCTATTAACATCAAGAAGGAAACAGAAACTAATTGTTTCCTTTAGTGGAAATACCATAAAGAAGTGAAGAAAGAAATTCATTTTTGGAAGAAAGCCGAAAAACCATTCCAGTAGAAGCAGTCCGATGATATAAGTAATTAATAATTCTTATTCCACGTTCAAATATTGTTTTAATATTAAGAAGAAGTTTATTGTTGTAATAGATTGCTGTAATGTTCTCTAATTTAAGAACTCCTTTTTTCCCTTCAACATATTTAGACTTAAAGAGATACCCATATTCTCTTAATACATCAATTAATAAATGAATTGTTTCAATACGTTTATAACTTTGTATTCTTCTAGTAGCTGTTCTTACCTCTGAGTTCATTTTAATTTCATGTTCTTTTCTTTCATTACATCTATTGTTAATAAATGCAGAGACATTAATAGAATCTTCTTGACTGAAATTAATTTTTATTACTTTAATAAATTGTTGAGTAACAAGACATTTCTTACTTGGTTTACTTATTTCTATACTATAATGTTGTGCAATTAATGCAATAAGAATACCTTCTACAGCACATTGATAATTAGTTGCTTTATATGATTTCTTTAATTCATAACTCTCTTTAATTTCATGATTTGGTGAACTTGCTTTCATCTTAAACACTTAACACTTTAAAATACTTTAAAGTTCATTGAGTCTCTGAATTCTAAATTAAGTATAATCTTCAATCTCTTTTTTTTCATTCAATTTCTTTTTTAGAATATCTTCTTTGTTGGTTTTTTATGATTTCTTCTATCAAAAAAACAAAACGTGATGTGTCATCACGTTATTAGTGAGATATTCCTCTTTTAGACTTTTTCATTTTTTGGAGTTATTTATTATATCTTGTTATATATTACAAAATGTAATATAAAATTAAATAAAAAGTTCAAAGTTGTTATTCAATTCCACAATCCTCTTAAGAACTCAACAAATTTGGCAAAAAATGATTGATATTGAACAAAAATAAGATTGGTCTTTGAAGCTTGACTGATACGTCGAAGATTCATAAAAGTTGGAATGTCAAGAGTTTCACATGGCTTACCATCAATAATTATTCTTCTCATTAATAATAAATCTCTTGCACTTTCTCTTGATACAAATTTAATTTTTACTCCAAACTCTCCAGCATCTTCAATTCCAATAACTTTACCATATGGTTGAATTGCTTCAAGAATCTCTGGTGTTTGTTTCATAGAACAATCACGAAGAATGACAGA